TAATAATTTTTATTTTATAATTTATTATAATCTAAGATGTAAAACAACGGATTTTTTTTTCCAATAAGTTGTCGAAAACAAGTTTGAAACCTGCCCATGAAAAAAAAAATACACCTCAAACTGGTAAGTTATCAATTGATCCAAAGGACCAAGTGCAAGATGTAAAACAACGGATAGATTCAAGGATTTGGTATTTTCTCGTCTTATTTTTTTTTTTGAATAATTTATAATTATTTACAAAGATAATTAAGAGAGAGGGAAAAGGGTTTTCATGTCTCACTGGATCGAAGCAGATCGTTCGGTATTTTCTCATCTTATTATTTGTTATTTTTATGCTAAAGATGATAAGATCTACACTGTAGTGGTTTAGAATAAAAGTATGACAACAAATAGGTTTGAGCGGCACAACGGTCGGAGAGGAGGAGATTGGGAATAGGAATAGGAATGGGAGAACGCGTCAACACAACGGTAACTTCTGCGAACCTGACAAGGCCGGCCAGAATGGGGCCCACCCGATCCTTCGGACCTAAGAATTGCAACAGTTGTACTTGAGTAAGTATACAAGCAAAAGACAGAAAAAAAATAATAATTAAAAAAGAAAAAAATCAAAGAGTCAAAACAACACTCCTTGAACGCTGTATGCCACACACACCTCACCCCCCTATTTCGTGTTTGACCTTTTATTACCTTAATTATTGGGTTTTGGGACCCCCCCTAACCTGGAATTTTGCCATGATGCCACCGCATCATCGCACCCACTCATATCTGAAAGGACTCCCTTGTCCCGTTTTCACAACTTGAAAATGACTCCACTCTTTAATTTTATTATTATATTTTTTATATGATTTTACTTTCTATCGTAAAAATTATATTAATCGTATTAATATCTACATTAAGAGAATATAGAGGAATATCAAGCCTAAGACTCGACCTGAAAAATTGAGTGCCCACACTTGTTTCTTAATAAAAAGTGTGACTACGATGATCATATGAGTGAAAGGTTTTTTATATGACTTTTAATAGTATATTTAGAATGAAGAAAATAA